GATCTGTATAACTTCTTATAAAGCTATTATACAAGAAACAAGAATACTTTGTCAAAAGGGTGTAGAGAGGAGTTTGCACTTGACTACCTACTTTATATAAAGTGCAAACTACTTTTCTTTGAATGATTAAAACTACATGATAACTAATTAGATATGATAATTGAGAATTACTATTTAAAAGAACTTGTTCATATCTAATTCTAATAATTATGATACATATTGTTTTTATACAAATTCAAAATATAATTTCTAGGCTATACGAATTCATGTTTGCTATATTACTTAAATTCTATTGGTTTAATATTCATTCATTCATTTGTTTGCTCATTCGTTTAATTATTCATTCGTTCACTCGTTTGCTTGTTCGTTCACTTGTTCACTCACTTCATGTGATTTGAGCTTTATTCAATAAGATATAAGATATATATAATTCAATAATAAAATATTATGACAAAAGGTCATTATACAACAATATGAGTATTACTTTATTAAAAAGTAATTTAAATTCATCAAGAATTTTTATTACTATTCAAGAAAAGAAAATACAAAGTAATTAATTCTTCTAACAAATATATAATAAGTTAGTTATTATATTTATTAAAGAATAAAAGCAAAAAAACTTTATTAATACTAAGTTAATCAAAGATTATCTATCTTTTTAGCTAAAATACATGTTATATTTATAATAATTATTTATTACTTAATCTTTTTAATCTAGAACTAATTTATTCTATTTAAAATGAGACTTAATTCATTCTATAAATTATCTTGTGATACTTGTCTCAATGTTTCATATCTTTTGTTTGAATATAACTAATTACTATGAATTAATATTAAGTTAATTTGGTCTTTAAAGATTAATTAACATGTGTTTTTCATGCTAATAATATTATTATTATTATAATATGAATATTTAATTTTTATTTTATTGGTTAATTCATATTATAAATTTAATTGAATGATATTTTATTATATTCTATTGGTTAAATTCATATTTATATTTTATTGGATAGTTATTTTTAGATAGTTATTATTTTATTAGACAATTATATATTGGATATTATTAATTTTTAGATTTGTATTAATTGATCTACATAATTAAATTTGATTAATATTAATAGTGAAATTTATGTAATATTAGAAGTGAGTGATATACAACTATCAAGTGAGTGAGTAATGTATAACCATCAAGCGAGTGCTTTTTCTTTATATCAATCAAAAATAACTTTAATATTTGAAGATTGAGTAACAATAACTTATATAAATATAACTTGTATCTTAATTTAAATTAATAGCAATAGCTCATAGAGCAATAGCAATAGTTCTATAATTCTATAACTCTCAGGATCTCAAGAATAATTAAAAATATGTAATAAATTAATGATAAATTCACCTAATAATAAAATTATATTTTATTATTATTAAATTATGATCTTATAATAAAATTATATATTTATTATATAAAATCCTTTAAATTAAATACTATTATTAAAAATTTTAGATCTCATTCTAGTTGATTACATTATGAACACACTGTTATCTCTCTTTAGACTTGTTATAATCATAGTTTAATACTTAATGTATTATATAGATTTGATTATATTATACTCTTCCACCTGTCATTCTTAATAAACTTTATTATAATTACTCTGCTCAAGTAATTTATTATAATATTATTAAGCACTCACCAACTCTCCCAAAGACTCATATAAAATGACAACAATATGAAAATAATAAGAATTAAATATAAATAATATAAATATATTTAAAATAAAATGAATAATATAAAATAGTATGAAATATAAAATGAACAATATGAAATATATTTAAAATAGAATGAAATAATATAAAAAATAAAATAAAATAAGAATAGACAATATGAAATATAAAATAAATAGTATGAACTAAAAAGAGATTGTAATTTGTAAATCATATATTTACTAACTATTCAATAGAAATATACTTAAAATAATATAATATATTTCATATTAGGTACTAAAATATCACATGGTGACAATATCACTTTTTTCTCTTAATATTTTATTTATTATTTAATCCTCTCTTCCAATCCAGTTTCAAGTTTGTAAACTAATTTAATAATTAGTAAACAAACTTGTAACAATATTTTTACTCAAATTAAATCAATAGATATCAAGATATTATATTTTAAAGTGACCAATTTATATTTGTTGATTAATTTTTCATTAGAAATTAATTATCAAAAAAATAAATCAGTCAATTTAAAATATAATATTCTAATCTTTAATAATTTAATTTGAACAAAAATAATACCATTCAATTTGTTTAATCAAGACAAATTGAATGATATTATTTTATTCAAATCAGATCACTAAAACTAAGAATATTATGTTCTAAATTGGTTGATTAATTTTTGTTAATATCAAAAAAAATGAATCTGCTACTTTAAGATGCAATATTTCAATACTATTAATTCATTTTGATTAGACAAATCAAATAATAATATTTTTGTTCAAATCAGATTACTAAATATCAAGAATTAAATTATTAAATATTAAAATATGTATTATGAAATAACTAATTATACATATATATATTTAGAATATGAATATACAATATCCAATATAAAAGCTTTACCAATTTATAAAAGATATCAATGATCAGTATTTGTAATGTTCTTTGTGGTTGGAAAATTTTGATATATTATATATAATTTATGAAAAGTTAAGAGAGGTACATTACTTTTGACAAGCACTGTATTAAATAATAATTGTAACAAATTAAAATAAAGCCAAATTAAATAAAGCCAGATTAAATGAAATCAGATTATAATAAAATCAAATCAAAATAAAATTTGGATTTTTTTTTGGATAAAAATTTCAGAGAAGGATTTGGGTTAGATTAGAGCATAAAGTATAATATTAAAATATGTAATATATTAATCTATAATTATTTAAACATCTTACTTTGTTTTGTTTAATCTGGCTTTATTTAATTTATTACAACAATCAATATATTGATGATTCAAAAAATCAATATGATTCAAAAAGATCGATATGATTCGGTTCTGGTTTAAACCCGGTCTTTTTGAATCGGGACCGAATCAGACCGAACCGTAACATCTCTAAGTGGAAATGTGGATTTGGAATCCACTTAGAATTATCACCAGCACTAACTCTCCCTATCCTAATTTGGGCCACTTGCAACATAAAAATTCGCCGTTTTACAATACGTAGAAATAATTCCGGCCCGCGTTATATCAATCCGGCCATCAGAATTAAGTGTGCTTCTAAAGATCTAATTTATATTATATGTGCAATGTATGTGTATGTGTCGACTATATTACATGATTGAAAACAACTTCACAGACAACGCTAATAAAAAATGTAGAGGGAAACGATGATTACGATTATGGATATGATTGTAAAACAAGTAAAATAAAAAATTAATTTAACAAATATAAATAATTGGGTAACTCGGAAAATCAAAAACCATTATGTTATCTATGCAAAATTAATAGACAATTAAATATGAAAAGATTACTTTCTTTGTCTTAATTTTGACTTCCTTTAAGATTATAAGTAAGCCAAATAATGTCCAAGTAAGATTGCAAACTAATGCGTAATATAAACCATCCTTCTTGTACACCTTCCATTCACTTAATACCACTGATACTAAGTAGTAGTAGTAGTAGATTTTCACCTTAATCCACTCGCCCAAATACAAACTGTTCGGTCTTTGTCAGCGCTAAACACTTGACCACCTTGTGGACTCCAGGCGACACCACAAATTGGTGCACTTTGAAATGAAAGTAAGATGAGCAGTGATTGTAAAGTGATTGCTGTAATCAAATAATCGTCAAATAATTACCTGTGTTCTTTTAAGGTCTTTTCCAGTCGAGATTTAAAAAGATTCCAATAATATATAGTTCCATCTAGATCAATCAGAAATATACATTAATAAATTATTAGAATTCAAGAATTTAATAATTATAAAGTTACCTATAGAACCTGCAGCTACATATCGGCCATCAGGACTAAATGATGGAAAATATTCATTAGACATTAAGTCCACTAATAATAACAGTGAAACGTATCAATTCAAAAAGTTAAGCAAACCTATAACAAGCTCGAGACCAATTTGTCCCATTCTTGTAACCGTCAGCGCTATATACATATAAATTTAGCCACACTGAGGAAAACGACTTAACGAAAATCTATATATAAAAAGAGAACAACATACTGTAATGTCTGCACAACTTCATATGTCCGTAGATCAACCAGTTTAATTGTATTATCTCTAGAATTTGTCATTACTTTAGAGCCATCTATTAAAAAAAAAAGGAAAATCAATTAGATTTCATTTAGAATTAATAAATGCATGATATTCTCATACCAGGAGATACAGCCACAGAAGTAATTTGCCCAAGATGAATTCCCGTCAATTCTTTGATATCTTTTCCTGATCTTACATCCCAAAATCGTAGATTATTATCCAAATGACCACTTGCCAGTGTGGATCTATTATTTATATATTAATTCTGTTTATTTTGAATCATTAGTTTATATATAATTGTATTATTAAATGGTATCTACCCCGACTCATCTAATAGGACGACATCATTGCAGCTAGAGAAACAAAATATCGTCTTTATACCTAACAAAGGAAAAAAAAAGATTACAATCGCTCTACTTCAAAACAAGAAATATAACAAATAAGACAAATTAAACTAACAATATCCTTTATTCAAATCGAAAACCTTGATAGTTCGATCATGACTGCCCGTTATCTACAAGAGTATTTTATTTATATGAAACGCCAATCCATAATGATAACATATAAATACAATTAGTAAATTACCAGTCTTGTAGAATCTCCATTAAATCTAGCGGAATAAACTTTTCCTATATGCCCGGTTAATGTGTGCTAAATAAGAGCGGAGAAAAATTTGAATGTTATATGTCAAGTGTGAATGTCTACTTAATAAAGATTATGTACCCATATACGAGCGGTCCGTAGATCCCATATTCTAGTTGAATTATCATTCGACGCACCAGCAATCATATCGTTTGTGTTGTTAAATGATAGATGCATAACAGACTGTAGTGACCCCGATAAAGTCTGTTTCAAGTTCCCTGAAAACCCAATAATTATACGATTGGCACATTGCAATCTAAGAAAAAACAAAAGGCGTAAAATGAATCAAAGTTGACTAACCTGTCTTTGCATCAAATACTTTAATCGTCTTATCACTGCTTCCAGTAGCAAACAAATTACCATCTGTTGAACAATTTATGGCTTGTATTTCGCCATCATGCGCTGTCTAATCCCATAAAATATAAAAATTATGCGAAGATGTTAACGCGATTTTATTGGAGAAAATGATCAAATTAATTGAGCTTACAAATTTTTTAAAAGCCGCGACTGGTATCGTAACTGGACCGACACTTTTTCCGCGTGGTCTATTATGCTCATATCGGTTAATATTATTCATTATATAGATGTGCGTGCAGTTTGATATTCTATAACCCATGAAATACCTTATAGTACTTATTGTTGCAGGTTCTGACATTATATGTTCTTTCTCTACGATCACAACTCCACTATTAACTTCTAATGCCTTTGTATGAATATCAATAGCACTATCAAATAATACCATGTCTTAAGATATTAGGTTAAAAATAGCTAAAAATCATATAAAAGTATAAAAACCTTTCAATGAACAGATTTGCTTCATTCATTTTCTCCACTTCATCATTCATTTTCTTGAGCCAACGTTGAAGTAATTGACTATTTTCTTTTTCGAGATCTTTCATTCGTTCTTCTGTTTTAACTAATTCTAATTGAAGCGTCGCTAATTCGTCTTGCAGAATCTATTGTTTAATATCAAACAGTCTTTGATTATCTATCAATTGATAATCTGTAATAAAGAAATCGTAAATTATTCTTTTACCTGTATTGTCCCATCTTTCTCTCGCAGAGAATTAGTGTGTGATTCAACCTTCTTCAGTAAGCCCGTATTTGCCTCGGTCAATTGTTGAATTCTTTTTTGTTTAGTAGAAAACAAAATATATATATATATACAATTAAATATGGAGTTTCATGTAATTCATTCTATGACATCAGATAACACCCACTCTTCATTGTTTTTCTTTGTAGTATCTTCCGATTTTCGCAACACATCATTCAAATCCACTAATCGTTGTGCATTCTGTCCTTGTGTCTTATACAAATTAGCACGCTCTTCTTTTAGCTCATAGATTTGTTGTTCTAATTCAGCAGTACGCTTTTGATTTAACGGGCTCCTGAAGAACAACAAGAAAATTTCAATTAAGTTGATCAATAAAAAAATTGCCAAGCGAAGAAACGAGGAAATACCCTTGATCGCGTAATGTTTCCACCTCTTTTGATAAATTCGCATTCTCTTCCCTTAAAGATCTTGCCGTGCTTTCCAACGCGCCAGTTTGATCGGCAAATTTACCGAGTTTTTGAACAAGTGAATTATCTGGTACACATTTAACAAACATAAGCATATTTCAAGTACTCATCGTTCAAATGTCAAAATCAACTTACATGACTCGACAAAGTCTGTAAAAGCTTTCTCTCTCCGGTCTCGTACCAACAGCTTTACTAATAAATCATGTTGCCAGTTCCCGTGGTTACTCGTGCCAACACTGTTACTAGATCCATTGAAACCTGTCGACAAAGCTGGCAATGTTGCCATATAGAAAAATTTCAGAGGTAGACGGAGTTGACAGCAATTGAAACTAATGATTTGCCAGAATCACACGGTTGGTGGTGTCACGATCAAATTATGTTAATTGGCTGGATCGGACAAATATACAACGCGCGTCAGAATAATACGTAAATATTGTTAAGATCGTTTTATTTTGCTTGAAACTATATTCCTAATTTAATGGTAAATATTCAGAATACATAATGAAAAAATCCTATTCTATTTACTGATTAATCTTTTTCATCCAAAATATCATAATTTTCTCCTTCTTTATCCTCTCCATTACTGTCGTCCCAATTTCCCTCTTCCTCCTCTTCATTCAAAACCTGCTCAAGCTCTTCGTTCTCATCAAACTCATCGTCAACATGTTCCGATATCCAAATAAAAGCCATTTCTGTTCGCGGAGAATCAGCCTTGCAATTAATATACTTTACAAACTTGTGAATTCCATCAATCCGCTCGGTAACGGTCAATGTATTTCTCATTGGCCATAAAACATGCACCGGCAATTCTTTATGTTCCGCATAATATATAGTAGCTCCGTCCCATTCTTCATCCCATTTCTCTCGTATGCATGAGAATATAACATCAACACCGGCATGATCAGCTGCTTGATCATGCGCGATTATATAATTTCCGCGACGAAATTGCCGCATTTCAGATGACACGGCGCCAAATTTGAGATGTGTCAAGTTCTCAAGATAGATTCGGAAAGCCGACGATTGAAAGAATTTTTCGACACGTGCGTGAAATGGTGCAGGGAGAGGAGCTTTGGACTTCCCTTTGATATCATTATCCTCTTTTTCATTGTTTTTGTTGGAATTATTAATGGGGTTTATATTGTTATTATTGTTGTTATTCTTTTTATCTTGATTGTTGTCTTTTAATAAATGATACTTTCGGACGAACGGTGGTCCGATTGGATTCTCGTCCCATTCGGCATCTTTCGCGAGACTTTCCAATAATCGCACATATACTTCTTCCTTTAAAAATCCACGCAATTCCACCGATCCATTCAAATGAATCATTTTCAAAAGATTATCGAGTGCCTCATCTGACCAATATTCCTCATTAATAAATTCCGCTATGTCGAAGCTTTCCTCTTCCCGCGATAATTCGTCAACCATTCGATATTCAGCGATTGACAGTCGACTTTTAAGTGAACCATGAAACCAGCCCGATATCGAGATCCGCGGTTTCGTGGGGGTTAATACTTCTGAAACTTGATGATAGGAGGTGGGGCTTACCTCGAAAAATGCCATGGAATTCCATTCTGGAATTATTGACCTTTTCACTTTATTAGGATGACCCTGGGAATCTCTATAAGAGAAAAATAACTCATTTCGAATGATTAATACTAACATCACTTGTCAATTGTAGAGTATCTAAACTTACATATCAAACAAATCCAACGTGCCTCCATCGTCTTTTCCCCAATTTTCATCAACCAGATAAATGATAAAAGCGATCCTCCTACCACTCCTTCCATCATTCATCAGTTTTCTCATGTCAATATGACCATTTTTCTTCCCTAGCTCATCATCCTCATCTTCTTCTTCGTCAATTGCATTATTCTCATAATCATCTCTGATATCGTCGTCATGACATAACAAGTAGCTTCCCTGTTTATAAATATGCGCCGACAAATCAATCGTTTCACCATCAACCTCCACTCCTGTCAATCCACCAATCAACCTCACAAACCATTCAGAATATATAACTCTTGTCAACTGTGACAAGTAAGTCTTTTCGACACCTTCCAGACTATTACTCTGATAAAACTCGTAAAGGTCATTTGAACGGTATGTGAAATCCTCAGTCACTAATTCTTGTTTCACTTTTTCTAAAAACGAGTCAGAAAACAATCGCGGAAGTACAGCAATTGGAAAAGGGTGCGAGTAAACTTTGCTTGTTGTTTCAGTGTCATAAAAGTCATGACGATTACGAAAAGCAGTTCGAAAATTCGTAACATAGTCAGGAAGAGTGTATTGCTTGTTGAGTATGTTATCTGGAAAAGCAGTGAAGGGCAAATGTTGTTCTTGCGCATTATCCAAAGTGGATTCAGATGCACTAGAAATTCGCACTTTTTTATTTGCATTGCTTACGTAAACTTCAGAGCTAGATGGGCTTGGATGTTTTCGCGAAGACATTGCGATTGTTACAAAATTTTTTTCTCAAAAGTTGTATCATTAAAAATTTAATATTTCTTATCAAACCACGTGATTCGAGAATCATCAAGATTAATTATTTTTTTACTTGTGCCTACCCTTCTTCTTTTGTAGCCGTTTTAGTTTCTTTGCCGAATACTAGAAGATCGTAATATGAATTATGAGAAATCGAATACAAAAAACTACGCTTAATTAATATCATGATGCTCACCATAGCCGCCAATTTCTCTAATCTTTCTTTCTCCTCTGCTGCTTTTCGTCTTTTTAGTAACGCCTCACGCGCTCGCTTTAATATCGAGAAAAAACTATCACAATAAACTCAATTGAAAAATTGCTAAATTTTCAATCTTTTTTATTAACCTGTTTCTTCGCTTCCTTTTCTTCTTTTAATTCTTTTTGTAATGTCTTTACAGCCTGTTGTGCACGTCGCTCTTCTAACCTTTGTTCCCAGGTTTTCGATAGACCTCGAGGAAGTTGAGACCGACGCGTGGCGCTTTTTGGGTGTTTCCATACCTTACCTTATAATAAAACAAATTAGCAGAGATCATTTAATGAATTATTGCAAAGTTAATTGTGAAAATCCGAAGCAAACGAAAGATATTGTTTTATATACCTGAAACTCTTCTTGCTATTACCCTTGCAGTTCTTGTTGGCGTTAAGGAAGTTGTCGATGTTTCTATTTCATTTTTATTATCACAAATGTTGCTATTGTTGTTTTCTTGACTTGTGGAATTTGCATTACTGGTGTTAGGCTCCATCAGAAAAAAATTCAAGTGTGGGAAAAAATCAATGATATTTTTAAATCATCCAATCAAATGTATTTAAAGTGAATATGATCATCGACGGCAAAATTTATCAAATTATAGTTCTTTATCTTCACGGTATCAAAGCTGTTTCTTGAAGAATGCCTATTTATATTGGAACTCTTGTTCGCATTTGAAACCAAACTTTAACCATTGACTCCAAACATGTTGTATCAAGACAAGTTCAACACCTCCAGTATAACTTGACCAAATGCATTCGCAATTTGCTGCATGTGGGCACACAGAAAATAACTTGAGAGCTAAACCAGAAAGCTCAATCGGATGAATCATTGCTAAGGCATTCAGGAATGCCAAATGTTCGAGAGGAAAAAATATATATCATTTGGAAATGCCACTATACCAGAAAAAATCGTCCAGAATTACCGAAAGATCATATTCACATCAAGTTGTGCAACAGGACCAACTCGTTTTCCGGGTGTAATGGCTCAAAAGATCACGAAAATTTATTGGAAATCTGTGAACTATTATTTACCGAAATAAGCTACTCACCATACTCATTCGATTACAAGCATTATGTAGAGGATATCATACGTTTGGGAAAATTTGCCAAAGATTCGTGAAATGCTGAATTAAAGCGCATCCTTATGTATAAAGAACAAGAAGCGAAGAATTAAATCACAATAATGATCCATTTTTATAAAGCAACCATGGATTTATACATTTTAGATCGCGAGTTAAAATTAGGGAAGTGTCTTTTATCACCTGATTTTTTTGGGGGGGGGGGGGCAGAGCGAATGTCAGGTTATAATATAAATAATATACTCCTAATATTTTATTTTTCAGGTGGGGGAGGGAGTTAAATGGAAATCATCCGATAAAAGATACTCCACTTAGAGGCGGACGGATAATCGACAGTTTGGCGTGATCTATTACGTCGAAGGGAATGTACCCGAAGTATTACGTACCCTCGTTAACATAAATATCGATTCAACAATAAAAAAAGGTGATTAAATTTGTCGAAACGATATCATCTTCAAATAACTTAATATTCGACGAATCGAGTTAATTGAACAATTAATAAGACTCCAGAACGAGTAGACATGTTCCCAACCTTTATTACTCTATGTGGGCCCGAGTATTATTATGTTTATAATGTATGAAAATCTTCACCAACCACCAGAATGACTAAAATAACGCCATTCTAAAAATCCAAGAGAAAAAAGACGAGCACGAATAGCTAATGAAAAAAAAGACCACTTTTGAGATGCTTATTTGGAAACGTCAAATCATATTTTTATTGTAAGGTTAGAAATGTCTTTTTGGTAAGGCACTGATATTATCATGAGCATTCTGATGGCATGATGTATATTTTATAAATTGTAAACATCATTATATTTGTCTATTTGCATTTTAGAAAAAAAGAATATCACGGAAAAATTGCGCTCTTTTCCGGTAATTATGATGATTGCGATAAAAAAGCAAAAACATCCTCATCTACAAGCAATATCACAAATAACTCGCGTAAACGTTTTCGGTATGGGGATTACAGTGATGATAACGACAATGATAACGATAGCGATAATGATAGCGATATTGGTGATGACAAGAACAATATTCCGTTCAATAAAGGCAAAAAGACGAATCAGCAACAATTTGACGATAATAATGGTGGTAATAAATTTGATGAAGGTAATAGTAGTGAAGCAAATTTATCTTTCTTAGAATTTAACCGCATTGAGATTAAAGAAAGAATTAGAAATGTAAATATATTGATATTATATTCAGTTAGCTTGATATTATAATTACAGTATAAATAAAATCTTTAACGTTAATTTATTTTTTATTTTCATTAGTACATCACACAATATCCCGAAATGTTAACTGCCGGCTAGTTTAATATGTAAGAATACAAAAAAAGCAGAACTGGTACCCGAAGATTTGTCATCCAACGGAATAATCAATAAAGCATTTCTAAAAGTCATCATACAATATCATCAAAACTAACCAACGTCTCGACAAATTATCGTGGAATAACTTTGATCAATATAAACGAAAATGTAAAGCTTTTATCAGTTCAAAAATGGATATGCTGACATGACATGCCTTGTGATTTCCTATTCAATTCCATAAATCTCAATTAAACACGTATTCGCTGAATGTTGCAATACATGTTCGGCGAAACATTTTATAGCAACTGCTAATTGGATATATATAGTTTAGATAATCAGCAAGTCCGCTTCAAGTTATCTTTAATTGGTCTTAAGAAACAACGTGACTTTAAGATCGAGATGTGCGTGGTAAAAGTTGTAATCACCACTCGGATCGGTCCATCCATCTAAGCAATTAAATAAATATATTCCTTATAAGCATTCCAAAAAAAATTAAATTAAAAAGGAAATAATATTTTTGCAATTTCTAGATTAAGTAAAACCAGCTTATTGCCGAGACGATCTATATAGTATGAGACATAATGAAAGCTCGCATCTTCACACGTCTGTATATCGATATATATATATATATATATACTTTCAAGAAAATCTGATTAGCAGTAACTCGCCATTTTTTCTTTGGTCGATCGGATCCCAGCACATCTTGAGCGGAAGTGGCATGGATCTTCCTATTCGATTAGCAATAATCTCACCATAAAACTCTAACGCTATGGGTAAATGTGCTTCAAAATCGATAGATTTCGCGACCTCCTTGATATAAGTCTTCCCACTATTAGTCGAAACTTTACCGTTGTATGGTTATATTGGTTCTACTAGTTCATATTGAGCATCATTTTCTCCTTTGAACGTGCTGCATTAATTGTTTTGGTGCGAAAATATCAGTGCGCTGGATCTGATATAATTAGACATATAGACAGTTCGTCGGTAAATCAAGCATATTGCCGAAATGTATTCCGGCTGGAAGAAATTCTATACTGTCTTGTCGCATCCAAGGTGGTGACAATCATATTACGAGTAACCATAAAGAAAATTGCTATATCTAAATTTGGCAAAAAAAACCTCAAGTATAATCATGATAATGCAGTGAATCATAAAGAACATGCTGGTTGCAGCCAGCAACTTTAATCGTGATGTTGGTAATGATAAGAGTCATCTGATCAAAAAGCACCAAAGAAAAAGATGTAGGATAATTTATAGATGAAGGCTTATTCAGAATAATAAAGTATATGAAATGGGGCTATTGCTACTGCTACTATAAATAATGAAGGAGCAAAGATGACCTGAATACGATTAATAATAACAAAGATGATGCGATCGAAAATATAAGGCGAAAACTGTAATGAAAACACCAAACTTCTGAATGTAAAATATTAATATTTACTCACATGGAAAGCTTTGATATAAATTACAATATTTCTAATATCATGATTTAGTTTGAATTTAAATATGTACAATAAATAACAAAATTACAAAATTGTTGTCTTGTGATCAACCGACTTGTATAAATAAAGCTGATTTATGCTTCCTTCCTATATTTTTCACTATCATTATTAAATAGTCCTCAATATCGTTGAGGCATTGCTTTGACCATCAATAACAGACTCTCTTCGATTAATAGTTTGATGATGTGAATTATCAGAAAAGAATTCATCCTCGGCAAGTTGTCGCATTTTTTCATCTGCTTCAAGAAATTCGGAACTAAGTGGCGTAGAAGATCTTGAACCTCCTTGACTTTCTGAGTCCATGCACTCTTTCTTTGCTGTTTCTTCTTCAAATTTTAAATTTTGCCGACGAGCTTCCTCACTCATCTTTCGTTCCAACAAATAGTTCATTGCTTCGGTAGCTTGCGCCTGGAATTCCGTTAGTTTTACCTTTAGTTCATCGCGTTCAGTTCGAGTTATTTCGAGTTTTTGTTCCGTCGAAGATAATAGTGTGCGGAGCTCTTCAACCCTTCGTCTGTCGTGTCGACCGTCGAGAAATGCTTGGTTAAGTCTTCCATGTAGTGTCCAAATTTGTTTTTCTTTGTCAAGTTGGTCGGAAGATAATACTGTTACATTGTTCTCTATGCGGCGTACTAAAAAACCTATTACTACTCCTAAAGCTAACGCTAAAGGATCCTTCGTTATGAAATTACGTAGACTTGTGAGTACGATTCGAAGCATTGGTCTTTATGTTTAGAAGAAAAATTCATGAATTCGGAAATAATGTGATTATGTCGTATCGGGTATGTATAAACTGGAATATATGAGTCAATCGGGTGCAACGAGTCACCGATAACATTATTTACATTCCTTATTATCCAGACTCCTTGCTACCCGTGTTGACCGTAGTTTTAGAGACACGCGAGGCGTGTTTCTCCTGAACGTTTGGTAATCGTCCACTTCCAAAATATAAAGCATGTTTTTTCAGCTTCTTGGCCGTCTATGTCCGGTCTTGATCGATAGTTCTTCGATCCATCTTGGGATCGAAACGGTCCGATCATCATGAGTTAGGCACGTGATTTGGGCATGTTTTTCACGTCGGAAAGTCTACGGACAGTGCATCGGGATAGTATTTAGTCATGTGGCCTTTTCCGTAACAGTGACTGATTCGCACCGAATTTAGCTTCAGTCTGACAATATCGCCTATTGCCGGTCGAGCGCTACGAACTGTCCCGCTTTCCAAATTAAGATCGATTGTGGCTTGTGAGATAAACCCAAAGTAGAGGGTCCACTAAAGCCGGGTAGTTTCACATGATTTAGAGATCCGATCCGGATTAACTCAATCGTGATCATGTGATCAAAATCATGTGAACGCTAATACGTCTGGGCGAACAATGATAGCAAACAATAATGATTATAGCAAACAATAATAATTATAGCAATAGCTCTTTTTAAGCTTTTGCTATTATCTTCTTGCACACTTTACTTCCACCAATTAATTACAATTTTTTCATCTGGATAGCAAAAGCAATATTGTTGTGATATGAATTTTAGCATATCATGACTTTTCATAGTTAATTTTCATTGGATAATTGATTTATAAATCATATTCATATTTATTTTATATTATCTATAT